ATTATTATTATTTTATTTTATTTCAGATACGATTACGAAGTGCTTTTACAAAATTCAACTTTTTGTCTGGTGCCTAGAGGTCGAAGGTTAGGTTCGTTTAGATTTTTAGAAGCTCTTCAAGCAGGGTGCATACCCGTTTTACTATCAAACGGTTGGGTTTTGCCTTTTCAAGAAGTCATAGATTGGACGAAAGCTGCCGTTTGGGCAGACGAAAGATTACTATTACAGGCAAGTAGAAATCGTACGTTTTATTATTATTATCATCATCATCATCATCATTAATTTTTTTTTTTCAATATAATCAATAAAAAAAAAAAAAAGAAGAAAAAAAAAAATTCAAAGTTCAATTTGAAATGATTTGTTACAAATGAGGTTAAGACATAAAATTGTTTTAAATATTAATTATCAATTTATCATTATTATCATTATTATTATTATTATTTTTAATTAGACAAAGAAAACATCATAAAGCAAAATTCATCTTCTCTCTCTCTCTCTCTCTCTCTCTCTCTCTCTCTCTTTGTCTCTTGTAGTGTTCAATTTTCCATTTATTAACTCAAATTATTATTAATATTTCCTTCGATTGATTTATTTATTGACTTTTTTTTTTTTTTTTTCATTGAAAATAATAATGATGATGATGATGATTGTGGAAAACTTTAATATAGTTATTAAAAAAAAAAAAGGGTGCGATTATTTACGCATATATGCAAAAGAACATAATTTGTTGTTCAATTAATAAAACGTGATGCTATTTTTTTTTTTTTTTTTTTTCATATAAATTTATAGACTATAAACAACGTTGTATAATAATAATGATATTTTCTGACGTGGTTCTCGCGTGAAACGTAACATTTGCCTGCCTGACTATATGTTGGAGATTAAATTCTGACCTTGTTATTATTATTATTATTATCATCATCATGTTTTGAGTTTTCTTATTAAACGGATTTTTTAAATATATTTTCGAAACGAAAAAAACTACAAGTTTTTATTTATTCGTAGTAGTATGTGTCGAAACGGTTAAATTTACACGTGTACGCGTGTACGAAAGGTAAAACACGCGATAAATTAGGTTAGAAAAAGTTAGATTTTTGATTGTCATTAAACGTGCGTGAGCTTTATTAATTATTCAAAAGAGAATGTCGTAAAAAAATCGGTTTTACACACGATCAATTATTCGCAAAGAATATTTTATCATGAGTTGAAATTTTATCATTCGAGAATGAAATGATAATAATAATAATAATAATTGGTTTTTTTAATTGCTGACTTTATCTGAAATGAAGAATGTGAGGAAATTGATCGAGATTTGTCTCTCTCTGTGTTGTTTCAGGTTCCCGACATCGTTAGATCCATTAGTGCCACTAAAATATTCGAAATGCGTCAACAAACCCAAATACTATGGGATAGATATTTTTCATCCGTTGAAAAAATCGTTTTCACAACGTTGGAAGTGAGTCTTGTCGTCCTTATTATTATTATTATTATTATTATTATTACGTATTCATTTGATTTGATTTGATAAAAAAAAAAAAAAAAATGGCGTTTCAGGTTATAGGATCGAGGCTGGGATTTGATTATTCACGGGATGGAATAATGTGGAATTGGCCGCCTGGTGCCCTGGTATCCCTTCCAAATTTTTCAGATACTCTAAAGAATTTTCCTTTTTATACTCGAATGTTTCAAATGAGTCCTGGAGATTCGGGTCTGACGGCTGTTATTTACGTTACCAGAGGTGGCATCCTTTCAGCCACTAATCCCTTGTACAAATTAATCAAAAATATATCCAAAAGTCAATTCGTTGCACGGGTGGGTAATTATTACAAATTTTTTTTTTTTTTTTTTGCGTGTGTGTGAGTGGACGTGCACGTGCACGTGCGTGCGTGTCAATTTTTAGCATTGTTTATATTATTTCAAAAGAAAGAAAGAAAAATAATTGTCATTGAGTTATATTTACAGATTATTATACTCTGGTGTGCCGAAAAACCGCCTCCTCCGCGGAAAAAATGGCCCCAAATATCCAAACATATCCCGTTAAATATAATCCATCAATCTCAATTTAGTTTTATTTCTCCGGACAGTGGTGGTGGTGGTGGTGGTGGTGGCAGTAGTAGCAGTAGTCACGTTAGTTATTATAAAAGAAAAAATAATATTCACGACGATAATAATACTAACCGAACTAATTTCACCCTCTTTTCCATGTCAAATCAAAGATTTTATCCTCATCCCTTAATTCAAACTTCGGCCATATTGAGTCTAGACGAAGACACCGTCCTAACAACGGATGAAGTCGATTTTGCTTTTCAAGTTTGGATTAATTTCCCGGATAGAATCGTCGGGTACCCAGCCCGGAGTCATTATTGGGACGATTCAAAGGTAATAATTTGAATCCCTTACGACACGAAGAAGGGATATTTTTACAATTTCAGTAAAAAATCCACTCTCGATTTCAGAATTCTTGGGGATACACGTCAAAATGGACAAACGATTATTCGATAGTATTAACGGGAGCCGCCATTTATCATAGATATTACAATTATTTATACACTCATTGGTTGAGTCCGCTTCTTCATAAGACTGTTGAACAGAGTCAGAATTGCGAAGACATTCTAATGAATTTATTAGTGGGTCACGTGACTCGAAGACCAAATATTAAATTGACTCAGAGGAAACATTACAAGGAACAAAATGCCGGACGACAAAGGTTGTGGTAATCATTATGATATAACTTTATGCGTAGCACACAAACAAAAATTTCAATTTGATTAATTTTTGCTGTCGCTTATTCTTTAAAGATCTCCATGGAATGATCCAGATCATTTTATTCAACGTCAGACTTGTCTGAACACATTTGCTGCCGTTTTCGGTTACATGCCGCTACTCCGCTCAAACATGAGACTTGACCCTGTTTTGTTTAAAGATTCCGTCTCAAATCTACGTAAAAAATATAGGCAAATTGAATTGGTCGGATCCGGAAGCTAGAATTAGGCTTGGGTACTCATCTATTTCCGGTTTTATTTTTTTCCCCCTCATTTTTTTGTACGTACGGTAAGGATTTTAAGTTTGTTTATTTACAAAATTAAAGAGTGTTTCTCTCTCTCTCTCTCTTTATTGGAAAAAAAAAAAAAAAAATTACCTGTTTTATTGATTGATTTGAGAGAAGGGAGAGAGAGAGAGAGAGAGAGAGAGAGAGAGAGAGAGAGAGAGAGAGAGAGAGTCA